TACGCAATCAAGTTAACATTTAAATGGCAGGGAATCTTTAAAAGGCTCTTTAAATTCTTCTTTAAATGTTTCTTGTGACAATTCAACCGATTAGAAGTTTGAAATCGGATGCGAAATCGATTAAATACGGTTTGTGGGCTCGACCGATCGGGTAATTGTTTGATCGGTTTGGAATGTTGCTAATTAATTTGTATAAACATTGATTCATCGGTCATTTAGTTGTATATATACAATCCCTGAACGAACGAACGAACGAACGAATGAATAAATGAATGATTGATGATTGATTGAATGAATGAGCAATTAAAATAAAGAATAAATTAATAAAGTTTTTTCACTCAATAAGAGAGAAAAGAGAGTTGTCCTCTAAATTCCACGTATCGCAAGAGTTATTCATTAAATTAACCATTTCATTCTCACTCCAGGCAGAACAGATATCATCCATCTGGATATCCAATGTCTCCTCTATATCATCAAAGTCATTTAAGTTGTTGTTGTTGTTGTTGCAGAAACTGTTGATGTTGTTGCTAGCTAATGTACATCTCAAATCTCTGACGTAGTTACTGTGGGCTTCTAACATTGTGTTCTGCTTGTAAGCGCCTGAAAATTTGTAATTCAAAAGTGCGTTGTTGTTGAGAGCGTTGAAGTTGGGATTGTTAGTATTGTAGTTGTTGATGATGATGTTGTTGTTGCTGTTGTTGAGTAGAACGTCGTCGTCGTCGTTGTCGTCTTCATCATCCAGGCTGAGTGATTCGCTGGCGTCGTCTGTACTTTCTGTTGCGTCCGACGAAAAAGATTCGTTGCTTTTGATGTTGTTGTTGATGTTGTTGTTGTTGATGTTGTTGTTGTTGATGTTGTTGTAAGTGTTGTCATTGATGTTGCTACAGTTATTGTCATTATTGATGACGTTCGTATCGCCGTCTTTGTCGCAATCGTCATTGTCGCTTTGGTGGCTGCTGTTGTTGCCGCTTTTGATTTGGTGGTTGTCGCTGGCTTGAGTCAAGCTTGCTGAAGTCGTTGTGATGTTTGTCTTGCCGTTATTATTATTATTATTGTTGTTGTTGTTGTTGTCATTTTTAACATCGTTAATTTTGTTGTTGTTGTTTCTGGCCATTATGAAGTTGTTAATGAAGGAGACGTTATTTTTGTTGACGATTATTGTTTTTAATATCTTGTTGTTTTTCATGTTGTTGTTGTTGATGTTGCTGTTGTTGTTGATGTTGGCAAGCTCATTACTTTTGCTGAAGTTGTTGTTGTTGTTCATGTTTAGAAACTTACTATTTGACGGAATTAATACGGACATGGGTTCTTTTACGCTGTTTGACAACTTCAAAAGCAGCGGCATCTTGCCATTATTAACGTTATTATTATTAATATTATTATTATTGTTATTATTATTATTGTTGTTATTATTATTGTCGTTAATATTGCTGTTGTTATTGCTATCATTATTAATGTTGTTGTTGTTGTTGTTGTTGTTGTTGTTAGCTGTGTCAATTCTTTGCATCGGCGTTACTATGGCTGTTGGAATGTTTAAACCGTTTAGATTATTATTATTATTACTACTATTATTATTGTTGTTGTTGTTGTTACTACAGCCTACGGTAGAATTATTCATGAAAGATGTTTTGACAGATTTGTCTGCATAGAATTCAGCCTGGCCATCGCTAGGAATGAGCACTGGCATAGTTTTAGACAGGCTCCTTACCGGGTGATGAACCGACGATCCCGATGTGATTGGCCGGCTGCTCTCGGCGCGGTTCAGCCAGACGCTTACGCTGTCATCACTGCCGTCAAACACACTTAATTTAATCAACGTTTGCTTCAGTTTTATTTTCTGGCTCGGCTCTTCGTCTCTCACCAGTTCTGTCTTTCCGTCATTAACTTTCACCACACCTGGAATGGACGGTTGAGTAATGATGACGGGTATTTCATCTTTCCCTTCTCCATCCTGCTTATTTTCATCAGCGTCTGCAGCGGAAGAGCACGAGGCAGTTGCCGCAGTTGAGGCCAGAGCAGTCGCGAAACCATTCATAATCTTCCACTCGCAGGGCCCTCTATTCTTGTGGCCCCACAAATTTTCGTTCGTCTTGAAACTCTTGCCACACTCGCACCTGAAGGGCCGATCGTCTGAATGAATTCTTTCGTGCAATCTCACAGCCGAGGTATCCTTGAACCTCTTGCCACAGATGCTGCACTCACACGGGTACTCGTTCGTGTGCCTATACAGGTGATGCTTCTTCAGGTGCACTTTCAACTTGAAGGCACTGTCACATAGGCGACAGACGTAAGGTCGGTTCTCTGAAATTGTAGCCAGTGTCGTGTTTGTTATCGTTGATGTTGTTTGTGGGGAGAAAGAAATTTGTTCTTCTTGTAGTTTGACTGGAATGTTACTTGGCGGTGCGATTTTGTCGACACTGTTGATGTTGTTGTTGATGGTGATGCTGTTGTTGGTGGTGATGTTGTTGTTGGTGGTAATGTTGTTGTTGGTGAGGATGTTGTTGTTGTTGGTGATGATGTTGTTGGTGGTGAGGATGTTGTTGTCTCCGTTGGGTGATATGTCGTCAGCTTCAACTTTGTTTAACGACTCCCACATCTCGTCTATGAGGTCGTCGTCTTCGTTCAAATTATTTAACACGTATTTGTTGCTGCCGTTCTTAAAATTGTTCACTTGAGTCAATTTTGCTGTGAAGCTTCGCGTTTGCTGCTGCTGCTTTTGAGGAAATGACGCGCCGTGGGCGTTGTCGATAGGTAATGGATTGTTTGCTTTCCAAAGATTTTCTAAGGATTCTGCTAGTTTTGATCGCTTCTGACGTTTAGGTTGTTGATGTTGTTGCTGTGAGGGTTTTGTGGCACCAACGCTGGCGATGTTTGAAACTAAGGCATACCGGTTGAGGTTGACATTTTGATTTATAACTTGCTGCTGAAATTGTTGAAACTGTTTCGCAATGATAGCTTTTCCGCAGGTCTTGCTCCTGTTCTCGTGGTGCCAGAGACATTCGCTCGTCTTAAAAGTTTTGCCGCAGAGACCACAACCGTAGGGTCTGGCCTCGCTGTGGATCCTCTCGTGAGCCCTCACCGCCGTCGAATCTTTGAAACTTTTGCCACAAATCTTGCAGGTCTCCTTCATATCGTTGGTGTGCTTGAAGAGGATGTGCTTCTTCAGGTGGTACCTCTCCTTGAAGCCGATGCTGCAGATGTCGCAAACGAACGGTCGCTCGTCCGAGTGCGTCCGCACGTGGTTCTTAAAGTTGGAGTTCTGCACGAAAGTTTTTTGGCAGTAAGGGCATGTCCACTGTCCGTTTGGTTGCTGCATCTGCTGCTGGAATTGTTGCATGTTATATTGTTGCGGTTGTTGCGATTGTTGTAGTTGTGGCTGCTGATGGGGGTGGCTACTGTGGTTGACGCCGTTGAGTAGCACTGTTGAAGTTGCCGATGACGTCAATGGATTTATAGTTGAAGTTAGTTTCAGAATATTGTTCAGAGTTTCAGTCGAGGTTACAGTTCTATTTTCAGTAGGAAGGACATATTTTTTAAGCTTATTGTTGGCACTGGCGACGACTGGCGGTGACGACAGGATGCGATTGTCGGGATACTTGTGCAGAGACAAGTGCATACTCAAGTACTTATCGCTTTCAAACGTTTTTGAACATTCCGGGCAGACGAATTGAGTTTTTCCAGAGACGCCGTTCGATGCCGAATTGACTTTCGTTGCAAAAGTCTGCGCAAGCTTTTCATTGGAGAAATTAAAGTGTAAGTTGCTGCTGTTTAAGAAGTTGTTACCCGCGGTTGCTGGCATTGTGTTGTTGTTGTTAAGACTGACTGTGATGTTTTTGATGTTGAAGCTGTTGTTGTTGTTGATGTTGTCGTTGTTGAGCAAATGGATTCTATTTAAATCACCGATGTTGTTGTTTGTACTTTCGGTATGTTGTTGGTGGTGCTGGTGCAGTCTCTTCTTTCTGGGTGATATGCTTAATTTTCTTTTCTTGAGAGTCATGTTTATTATATTATTATTATTGTTGTTGTTATTATTACTGTTGTTATTATTATTGTTGTTATTATTGATGTTAAACCTGGAAACGAAATCCAGGACAGTGCCGTTCGTGGAGTTGCCGATGTCGAAGCAGCTACTTAGGTCAAAGTGGTTCATTACATTCGTAACGTTTGTCACATTGCTATGAGAGTTATTATGGATGTTGTTGTTGTTGTTGTTGATGTTGTTGTTGTTGATGTTGTTGTTGTTGATGTTGTTGTTGTTGTCCAGTTGTAGTAGAACAATTTCCTCTCCAACAAACAAATCTTGCCCGTTCGTGATCTCAACAACGTAGCCCGATGTCTCTACCCTTTCTTCTTCTTCTTCCTCTTTCACTTCGGAAGTTTCAATTATCATGCTAGTTTATTATTGTTATTATTGTTGTCGGTTTTGTTATTATTGTTATTGTTGTTGTTGTTTTTTGTTTCTGTTGTTGTTATCGTTAATTTTCCACGTCATTTCGATCCATGTTATCAGCTTTTCTAAATGCGTTCCTCTTCTCTACCTGGATTTGAAGTATAGGATTAGGTTAGATGTTGTTATAACAAACAGAAAAATCAATAATAATAAAAATAATAATAATATTTGTAATAATAATATTAATAATAATAATAACAGGACAGTCCAAAAATCCAAATAAAAACTTTAAAAAACCATTGAAGACAAATATTGCTGATAATTCTTTGAGCCTACATAAAGTTTGTGATAATGACGATTCGAAAGAGGCGCGCAGAGTAGAAGCCAAATATAATAATATAATATAATATTATTATTGTTTACTATTATTATGAACTGCTTTATATATATATATATATATATATATATATATATATATATATATATATATATATATATATATATATAAAGCAAATACACACACACACACACACACACATATATATATATATATATATATATATATATATGTGTGTGTGTGTGTGTGTGTGTGTGTGTGTGTGAGAGAGAG